AATGGTGTTGGGAAACTGGCTAGCTATGTGCAGAAAGCAGAAACTGGACCCCTTCCTGACACCTTACACTAAAATTAACTCCAGATGGATTAAAGACTTAAACATAAGACCTAACACCGTAAAAATCCTAGAAGAAAATCTAGGCAAAACCATTCAGGACATAGGAGTAGGCAAGGACTTCATGACCAAAACACCAGAAGCATTGGCAACAAAAGCCAAAATAGACAAATGGGACCTAATCAAACTCCACAGCTTCTGCACGGCGAAGGAAACAGTCATTAGAGTGAATTGGCATCCACCAGAATGGGAAAAAATGTTTGCAGTTTACCCATCTGACAAAGGGCTGATATCCAGAATTTACAAAGAACTAAAACAGATTTACAAGAAAAAAACAAACAAGCCCATTCAAAAATGGGCAAAGGATATGAACAGATACTTTACAAAATAAGACATACATGAGGCCAACAAACATATGAAAAAAAGCTCCTCATCACTGGTCATTAGAGAAATGCAAATCAAAACCACATTGAGATACCATCTCACGGCAGTTAGAATGGCGATCATTACAAAATCTGGAGACAACAGATGCTGGAGAGGATGTGAAGAAATAGGAACACTTTTACACTGCTGGTGGGAGTGTAAATTAGTTCAACCATTGTGGAAGACAGTGTGGTGATTTCTCAAGGACCTAGAAATAGAAATTCCATTTGACCCAGCAATCCCATTACTGGGTATATATCCAAAGGATTATAAATCATTCTACTATAAGGACACATGCACACGAATGTTCGTTGCAGCACTGCTTACAATGGCAAAGACCTGGAATCAACCCAAATGCCCATCCATGATAGACTGGACAGGGAAAATGTGGCTCATATACACCATGGAATATTATGCAGCAATAAAAAACGATGAGTTCGTGTTCTTTGTAGGGACATGGATGAAACTGGAGAACATCATTCTCAACAAACTGACACAAGAACGGAAAATGAAATACCACATGTTCTCACTCATAGGTGGGTGTTCAACAATGAGAACATATGGACACAGGGAAGGGAGCACTACACACTGGGGTCTGTTGAAGGGAATAGGGGAGGGACAGTGGGGGGTGGGGAGTTGGGGAGAGATAGCATGGGGAGAAATGCCAGATATAAGTGAAGGGGAGGAAGGCAGCGAATCACACTGCCATGTGTGTACCTATGCAGCTATCTTGAATGTTCTTCACATGTACCCCAAAACCTAAAATGGAATAAAAAAAGATATCTGCTTAAACATGAAGTAAAGACACATTTCCTATTAAATATAACATTACTCTAGTGAGAATGGGAAATATATATATATATATTTGACTGAAAATGAGGGATAAAATGTTATAATAAATGAGAACTTTCACACCAAATGTATAGACTCAGTAGCATGAGAGTTTTCTCCATATGGTTTGCTTAGAGCAAATATATAAGAAGGTGTTATGAGCTGAATTATATGATAACAAAAACTAACATTTTAAAATCATTTAAGCATGCCAGTAAGTATTGTATTTGAGTATATTATGTTAACTACTTAAATCATTCCTCAAAAATATTATAAGCTCTGGGTACAGTTATCATTCTTAATTTTTCAGTAGAGGAAACTGAGACAAAGAGATAATAAGAAAGTCTCTTAAATTGACACAGTATACATGAGAAATTCAGTATTTGATCTGAAGAAGAACTCCTTTCATGAGTAGATATTTTTGTAATTATCTGTAATTATTGTACAGATAATACCATGATACAGGTATGAAAAATTGGCAATGGGGGGAATATAGACAAACAATCATGGATAGAGAGCAGTGTGACCAAAGGCTCAAAGATCTTAATCCATAAACTAAACATTTAATAAACTCAGAACACATGGCCATTGAAAAGGAGTAAGAGAGCTAAGCCTAAATATGGAGTTTGTAATACCAGGTTATTAGGCTTTAACTTGGGTAGTTAATATGGATCAAGTACTATTTTATCTAGAAAATGACATCCCATAGAATTTGGCTGGAAAATTCCACTTGCAGAGAAATCAAACCTATCTATCTGTATGCCATATATAAATGATAATACTTGGGTGTTTTTGCTCCCACATCTATACCTTGCTGTATGAACATTTCTATTCTCATCACTTTTCTTGGGCTTCTATTTCCCTAGATCAGAGTCAAAAAGTTTTGTTAACAATCTCAGAGGATTCAATCTCATGGTGCCAATTATAATAGATCAAACTAACTCAATTTTCCTAATGTTCTAAGCAACTCAAGGCTTAATATAAAATGACTATTCTTGGACTGTGTAAAATGACAAGGCTGTAGAGCCACGCTGCTTCATACTCCCTTTGAGCTTATGTTTCTATGAAATAATAAAGCAGGTGAGTTTTCTCTTGGCTTAGGTATTGATTACACTGAAATAAGTGACAGCTTATCAAAAGTTGCAGAGATTGCTGGGTTTAATATTTATCAGGTAGTGCAATTTCTGATTCTAGCAGAATAAAAATCCTTTGAAACTCTTAAATGGATATTGAGAATTTAAAAACTATCTAGAAGACCCACAGAATGGATATATCTACACAAAGCAATTATATGGTTTACTGGTAAAACATAAGTTCTGCCTTTCCTATGGATTATAAGGAATAAAATGAACTTCTATAGCACTATGAAAGTCTGGGGTGAGCAATGACGTATTATTGAAACCTCACTTCCAGAAGTGATCTCACTATGGGTATAAGAGCACATAGAGTCTTCCTCTTGGCTATTGTCTTGCTACTGGGCAGCGACAGTCTTTACAAGGACATCTCAGTTAAGTACACACACACACACACACACACACACACACACACACACCACTAAGGAAGTCATAGTCATTGCAAAATACAGCTTATTTCTTTTTTCCCTCTTTGTTGTTCTCTCTGTACATATACCCCACACACTTCAGAGTGGGTATATTATTTATTTTATGGGTTTTTTTTTTTTTGGAGACAGAATTTCACTCTTGTTACCCAGGTTGGAGTGCAATGGCGGTATCTCAGCTCACCGCAACCTCTGCCTCCTGAGTTCAGGCAATTCTCCTGCCTCAGCCTCCTGAGTAGCTGGGATTACAGGCACGCGCCACCATGCCCAGCTAATTTTTTGTATTTTTAGTAGAGACGGGGTTCCACCATGTTGACCTGGATGGTCTCCATCTCTTGAACTTGTGATCCACCCGCCTCGGCCTCCCAATGTTTTATGTTGTATCTTGATATATTTTCCACCTTGACATACTTGTCAGAAGTATGGAGTTACATAAATGATGAAACAGGAGTCTGTGTTACTTTGTTCTATTTTGAACCACTCTCCCACAAGTTGGAGAGTCACAGAAATTCTATTTTGTTATTTCAGCTTATGAGTGTTTGCTTCTTTATAATTTCAAAAACACTGAAAGAGTACTCTTATATATTTTCTTTAGATAATATTTTCTTTATATATTTTCTTTAGATAATATTTTCTTTATATATTTTCTTTAGACAGAAAATAATTTTCTCTGCAAATAGACCTTTTTACTTCAGAAAGTTTTGTGTCATCAGGCAGGAGGCATAAATCCAGCATATACTAGTTAGAGGAACCAATATAGAGTAAAGTTTTCAAATACCACTAGAAACTATCACTACCATAAAAGTCCAGAATGAGCCACTGAGAAATCCGTTGCTCTTAAGAAAGTGTTTTAATCAGTGAAAATTCTCAACAGGTTTACTATTATTGTCTTTCTGAGCTCTTTCACGTGTGGTAGTATGTGACCCAGCCGGTGTTTGCTCCTGGACAAGCAGTCCAGGGTGCCTATGCTTTTGTTTGCTATATCTACATTTAACATGTTCTCCTTCTGTTTTTTTAAGAGGATATTAGGCTTGATATTGGCATTTGCTCTACATCAATAAATAATTAATGAATCATTAGAAAAACTTTTGGAGTTTATATATATATAAACTTATTGTACTTTGGGTTCTGGGGTACATGTGCAGATCATACAGGATTGTTGCATAGGTAGATACGTGGCAATGTGGTTTGGTGCCTTCATCCCCGTCACCTATATCTGGCATTTCTCCCCATGTTATCTCTCCCCAACTTCCCTACCCACTACTGTCCCTCCCCTAGTCCCCCTCAACAGACCCCAGTGTGTGATGCTCCCCTCCCCGTGTCTTGTTCTCATTGTTCATCATCCGCCTATGAATGAGAACATGCAGTGTTTGATTTTCTATTCTTGTGTCAGTTTGCTGAGAACGATGGTTTCCAGATTCATCCAAGTCCCTACAAAGGACACAAAAACGTCGTTTTCTATGGCTACATAGTATTCCATGGTGAGTATGTGCCACATTTTCCTTGTGCAGTCTATCATCAATGGGCATTTGGGTTGGTTCCAGGTCTTTGCTATCATAAACTGTGCCGCAATGAACATATGTGTGCATGTGTCTTTATAATAGAATAATTTATAATCCTTTGGGCATATACCCAGTAATGGGATTGCTGGGTCAAATGGAATTTCTATTTTTAATTATAAAAATGTGTGTACATCTGTGTCTGTAACTTCACTTTCTCATTAGGCTGTCTCTTTTTGAATTAGTTGGCATTTCCCTTGATTTTTCAGGCATTCCTCTTCAACAAGGGTACTAACAAAGCGTACTAACAAGGGGTACAGGACATCTTCAATAATTCCAGTTAAATATCAAATTCTATGTCAAAGAATTCTGCAATTTTTAATGTGTAAGCTTATACATTATACTGTAATCATTATGCAAACATAAGAATTAAGTTATTTGAGAATCACCTATTCAAATGACTGTAGGTTACAAAACACAATAACAGAACCCTCCAGATAATGAACCTTTTCATTTTACTCTGCATATACTGAGTGAAACACAAACTTAGTTATTTTCATTCCAAACTCTTATGCAATCTTCTTCTCTCCCCAGCTCCTGCTTTTACTTCTACTACACAGTCATTTGGAAGAATGTTTTATCACAACAAGAGCAAATTTCACCCAGCCACATTTTTCCTCATTGGAATCCCAGGTCTGGAAGACATCCACATGTGGATCTCCCTGCCTTTCTGCTCTGTTTACCTTTTGGCTTTGCTGGGCAATGCCACCATTCTGCTAGTCATCAAAGCAGAAAAGACCCTCCGGGAGCCCATGTTCTACTTCCTGTCCATTCTTTCCACTATTGATTTGGCCCTTTCTACAACCTCTGTGCCTCGAATGCTGGGTATCTTCTGGTTTGATGCTCACGAGATTAACTTTGGAGCTTGTGTGGCCCAGATGTTTCTGATCCATGCCTTCACTGGCATGGAGGCTGAGGTCTTACTGTCTATGGCTTTTGACCGCTACATGGCCATCTGTGCTCCACTACATTACACAGCCATCTTGACATCCCAGGTGTTGGTGGGTATTAGCATGTGCATTGTAATTCGTCCAGTTTTACTTACACTTCCCATGATCTATCTTATCTATCGCCTACCCTTTTGTCAGGCTCATATAATAGCCCATTCTTACTGTGAGCACATGGGCATTGCAAAATTGTCCTGTGCAAACATCCGTATCAATGCTGTCTATGGGCTTTTTGTAGTTTCTTTCTTTGTCCTGAACCTGGTCCTTATCGGCATCTCATATGTTTACATTCTCCGTGCTGTCTTCAGCCTCCCATCACATGATGCTCGGCTAAAAGCACTAAGCACATGTGGCTCTCATGTTGGGGTCATCTGTGTTTTCTATGTCCCTTCAGTCTTCTCTTTCCTTACTCATCGATTTGGACACAAAATACCAGGTTACATTCACATTCTTGTTGCCAATCTCTATTTGATTATCCCACCCTCTGCCAAACCCATCATTTATGGGGTGAGAACCAAACAGATTAGAGAGCGAGTGCTCCACGTGTTTACTAAAAAATAAGACTCTTACTATGGTCTTTTACTAAGGGTTTTGATCCTCCTATAAAGACCGATCTTTTCTTGCATTAAGGAATATCACCTGATTCTTACATTATTGCCCTCAACTTGCAATACAAGTTGGTTCGTTCCTGGATGCTTACTAATAATGGATTTTAACACTGCAGACTCATCATTGTAGTTCAAGTTCAAGACTGATGAACTATCTTAGAATGGATATCCTGGGAGAGAGCTGTAGGGCCTTTGCCTGCATGACCTTGTGAAGTGTGCTTGTTAGCACAAGGCTATTTCTTTTCCAGGGAAAGAACATATTATACTGAGTGTTTTGTGACCAGTGATGAGAGATATGTGGCATTGGCAATTTACCCTGTAAACTACTCTATTTATTCCTTTATTTTTTTTCTTATTTTCTTCCTTTTTTTCTTTCATTCTTTTTCTCTTACTTCTATTTATTCATGCATCATGCATTTGATGATTCCTTAAATTTATATTCATTCAATGTCTGGCCTGATGGAGCTTGCATTCTGTTGTCCTCTTACAAGGCCAATTTCATGGGTTCAAAACAATCATTGCCAAACCTGTAGCTTCAAGTGAACTCATCTGCCAAATATATGACTCAGTGCAATAACACCCAAAACAAATATATAATTTCAATCCTATTTCTCAGTAATATCAGCATAACTTATCACTGATTGCTTTTTGGAATTTATGCCCATAACATAAGCATAAATGTGGTCTTGTTATAATCCAATTAGGTATAGCAAGTTTACATCTGTGATATATGTAAGTCTTTGCCTATCACTTTTTCTGGTATTCTCTCAATCTACACTTGAACCTAAAAGACCCTATTATAAAATCCAAGACCTCTCTTTCCAGCCTGTGATCTATCATTTGTTCTTTTACAGACTTTAATGTAGAATATGTCATATCTAGCTGTTGATAGCCACATTTTACATGATACTGAAGGTTTTCAATTTATTTAATAAGATTTCCAAAGACCAACCAATTAATTATTCTTTGAATTATCAAACTTGTCACATTGTTTTTTACAATTATACTCAGTTTGTCTTATGTAGGTTATTTAAAATATAAACAAATATGTAACAAAAAGTTTTGTGCCTGCAACCAAGAATTAACAACTTTTTATATGGCATTCATCTCAAAGAGGATGTTTAATAACATGCACACAGCACTAAAGTTAATATCACTTTTAACACTGCCCCAGCAGATTTCTCTCCCAATTTTCCAGAGGCAAAGGCTAGCATGTGTATTTTCAAATTGCAAAGTTTTAGATTTACAACCAACCACAGTATTTTGTTGCATCATTTGTTATTAATTTATATGGATTAAAGTACTCTGTGTTTTGTTTTGTAATTAATTTCATTTATATTTTCATTTACTAAGAGATAGTTCATCTTATTATTTTTAATTACAACATATGAGGGACATCTTTGAATAAATTTTTAGTTAATTTATCGGTGTTTTATTCTTTAAAGTAGAATTATTAGGTAGCAGGTTTACAACCAATTGGAATATATTTCTGCTTTCTTGATATTTGTTTTTGATTCACTTTCTAATTTACATTTCCTGTTGCTTTCCCTTTTTTTCACTTTCATGCTTTTTGTTATTTTAGTTTCCTTTGTTAATAAAAAATCTCTGCCACTGAAGTTTAGAAATTGCATATCCATTATCTGTTTTTTTTAATTGGGTATTATTAAAAATCTAAGTTCTCCAATCTTATCTTTCTCTTTTTTAACAAACACCAAGTAATAACTACCCTACTCTGAAGAAACAAACATATTAATCCTCTTTTAACTTTTGTTGTCTTTCTTCCTAATTCATCTATCTCATGTTGCTGCCATCTGGAGCATTACTTCCATGTTTAAAAATAGAAATAAAAACATTTTAAAAGACTATATATATATATATACATACATATATATACACATATATACATACATATATATACACATATATACATACATATATACACATACATACATACATATATATACACACACATACATACATATATACGTACATATATACACATATATACATACATATATATACACATATATACATACATATATACACATACATACATACATATATATACACATACATACATACATATATACACATATACACATATATACATACATATATATACACATATACACATATATACATACATATATATACACATATATACATACATATATATACACATACATACATACATATATATACACATACATACATACATATATATTCAAATTTTATTTTATTTTAGCTTCAGAGAGAACATGTACAGGTTTGTTGCATAACTATAGTGAATGTTGCTGAGGTTTGGGCTTTTCATTATCCTATCACCCATGTGGTGAATATAATATCTGATAGGTAGTTTTTAACACTTGCCTCCATCTCTTCCTCCCCTCTTTTAAAATCTCCTACGCAACTGTCTTGCATGCTCTGCTCATATACCCCAAAACCTATAATCCAATAAAAAATTAAAAAAATAAATAAATAAAATAAAATCTCCAATGTTTATTATTCTCATCTTTGTGTCTATGTGACCTAATGCTTAGCTTTCACTTATGAAGGAGAGCATGCAATATTTGCTTTTGTGTTTCTTCATTAATTTACTTAGGATAATGGCCTCCTGGTGCATCCATGTTGCTTCAAAGGACATGCTTTTGTACTTTTTATGGCTGCGTAATATTCTATTATGTATATGTATGTATCACATTTTCTTTATCTAATCTGTTGTTGATGAACATCGGGTTGATTCTATGACTTTGCTGCTTTGAATAGTGCTGAATGAACATACAAGTGCAGGTGTCTTTTTGGCAGAGGAATTTATTTTCCTTTGAGTATAAGGACACATCTAATATTCCCCACTCCAGCCATGCTGCCAGACACAAAAGACCCCACATTTCAGCCAATTACCTCCTGTTCCTATAATAACTGGTTATAATTTTATGTCTAAATGTGTCTTTACTTACCTTTATACTTTAATAACAAGACAAATGTTTATAGAACTTTGGAACTAAGTTTTATTCTATCCATTTTCTATATTAATTGTTCCACATTTTTCTAGCAATTAGTGCTGTAATTAAAAAATATAATTCCAAACATTTTCTTGCTTTTGAAATATTTTTTCTCTGTTCTTTGAAAAGCATTTTTGATGTTATAAACTTTCATTTTATTGAGTCTAGCTTTGTAATTTTTAAATAAATAATGTTTGGTATTCTGTATGTCCTTATATTCTGAAACTATATCTTCATTACATCTGAGAGTTTTAAAATGTTATTCCTTTAATCATTTCCTTGCCAATTTTGCTATTTTTCTGTAAATATTTTAAAGTTTAATTTTTAAATCTTTCTTTCATGTATTTTAACTTTATTTTCTTCCATCACTTTATCAATTTTACTGTGGTGCTGAAAATTCATCAACCAATTTTTAAAACTCACCATTTTGATTGTCAGCAGTTTGCATACTATTCTTTTCTCAATATAATCATTTTTCAACCTTCTATTTATGATTCTTTTCATTAAAAAACTATGTTTTCTTCATGTTTGTAGTTTCTCTCTCTCCCTCTCCTTCTTTCTCTTTTATTCTATGTTCTCTTATTTTTAATGCTACTGTGAAAGGAAAATAAAATCTGAAGACCCCTAAGTCACTATTCCAAAAGGGAAAGTTTAGTTTGGACACACTGAATCATATACAAAAGATTGCCTTTCCTTTTATTCCTAAACAGATATCTTCCCAGATGGCCTCCCTCACTCTAACAATGTAAATTAACAGATTATCTCCATGGATATGGGACAAGAGGAGACTAGAAATCATCCTACAGTCCACCCCAAGAAAAATGCCTATTTGACTCCTTCCTTTATTTTGTGTTTATCTTATGTAAAGTGTAGATTTACTAAGCATGAGATAATTACATAATAGACTGTTCCTCTACTCTCTTCTTTTCACATGGAACAGATGGATTCAAGGAGTGTCAATCAAAGCCTCAAAATAATGTAACTGCATGTCTAATTTTTTCTAACCCTCCCCTTTTTACTTTCCTCTTTCCCTTCCCACCTGTTTTTCCTCCCTTAAATATTAATACCCCATTGGAAAAAGTACAAGCCACAGATGCTACTGAGACTTGTGTCTCTTTCCTCGGTGTGTCCTCAAATTTTGCAAAATAAACCTCTAAATCAATTTATACCTGTGCCTCATACTTCTTTTGGTTTTCACTAACAATTCCATGTATTTTTAAATCGTCATCTGGTTTCTTGTTAATTCTATTTAACAAAATTTTTTTGCTATATGATTATCTCTTTAAAAAAAAAAGTTGTAAGCTATCCCTGAATGTTTCATGAGTATTTACTGAGAACTTTTCTTTGTCACAGTATTTCTCGATAGACTCCTAAAAGATGATAGGTAAGTAATCTTTACAGTTGAAATTTTTTTAGAGTGTATATTCTATGATGGAGATTTGACTTTAAGAAACTTACTTGGATGTGATAGAATGCAGAATAATGATCCCCTAAAGTTAACAATAACCTAATGCCCAGAATTTTTAATATGCTGTTTCATACCAAAGAAGAATAAGTTTACAATGAAATTAAGGTGCTAATCAACTAATTTGAAGATAGGGAGAGTAGCCTGGATTATCAAAGGTGAGCCCAATATAATCACAGGGTTTCTTACAAGTAAAAGACAGAAGCAGAAGGGTTAGATTCAAAGAAGAAAATGTGAAAATAAAGCAAGGTCAGAGTAAGCCTTTATACAGCTGCACCAGTCATGACAGAGCTCTCCTGGCAGGAGAAATTTGATTTTGGGGAATGAGTTCTCATTAATCAAGAGAAAAGACAAAGAGAGATTTAGAAAGTGTTCTCTGTTACATTGCCAGTAGTTGCATCATTGAGAGAAATGAATACTTCGTATCTGGGTTATGGATGGCATGCCACAGCATCCACAAGCAAACCTAACCAGGATATGGGTTTCTTATAGTGGAGACACTACTGTATAACTCCACCTAATTTTTTTATCAATTTGTTCTTTGTTCTTTCTTGCCTCTTGAAAATCTCAAAGTCCTCAAAAACATTAATATTTCTCCCCATATTTAAATTTTAATTACTGCTTATTTGCAGGCATATTCTAGACTGCTTGTTCTTATTCTCTAATAGTTGTCCTTTTTGATTTTGAGGTTATTACAAACACACACACACACACACACACACATACACAAATTCATTTTTTAAAAAAATCAATTGTAATATATCTAGGGCTTTGTGGGGGAAATGACCATAGTTTCACAAACTACCAATTTGACAATGAAGACGGTCAAATTATTTCTTCAAAGCACAGAAAAGCAACTTTTTTAAAGCATATCTTATTTGACAATAGAACTAAGCTAAGTGATTATTTTAGTAATTATTTATTTGTGATAGTTTTCATTGTTAAATTGTTTTATAACCATCATTTAATTATTTTAAAATCCATGTGTTAGGAGAAGAAATAATGTTATCTATACTTCAATGACTCAAAGACATTTTGACATTTCAATGCTATTTGAAACATGTTGCTCCTTATTTTTTATTTATAGTGTTGGAATTAAATCATACATTAACTCATACAATTTCATGTATACTTATGAACAGAGGGATGTACATTATGGATAGTTTCTTAGTGCATTGTTATTTTAATGGAAACTCAATTTCTTTAGTTGAATAATCTAATTTTTTTTCATGTACTCACAGTTTACTGTTGAATAATGCATTGGTTAGTGTCACCAATTTCTCCTGCAGTTCAATATGTGTGTAAAACTTTTACTACCCTAAAACTTAACATCTATTATAATAACCTGCTTTTGACCAGAAGCCTTACCAGTAATGTAAACAGAAAATTAACACACATTTTGTAAGCTATATATTATATACTTTATTATTTATAAAGTAAGCTAGAGAAGGAATGTTATTAAGATAATTATAGAAAGACATATATTTTCTATTTATTAAGTGGAAGTGGGTTATTATAAAGGTCTTTATCCTCATCTTCATGTTGAGCAGTCTGAGGAGAAAAACAAAGAGGAGAGGCTTGTTTTGCTATCTCAGATGTGGCAGGAGTGAAAAAAGAAAAAAATCCACATACAAAGAGATCTGCATAGTTCCTACCTGTGTTGTTCAAGAGTCAGCTGTATTTTGTTTTTGAAGTAATTGAAAATAGTATAAGAAATATGTAGGGGCATAAAGCTCATTCTATGTTTAAAACAGAGAAAGTAATATTCACTTTTTAAATTTAAATTTTATTTATTATTTTATTTCTTCATAAAGCCCCATTAAACCTTTTCTGTCATTTTCTTTCAGCTTGTAGTAACCCTTTAACATTTCCTGTCGTGTAGTTTAGCTGACAGTAAAGTATGTGCTTTTATTTATATGAAACAATTTTTACAGGCTACTCAAAAGGAAATATAACATCTGAATGGGACTTTAAAATATAAATAAATCGAATTAGTATTCAAAATATTTCCCACAAAGAGAAGCTTAAACCCAGATGGCTTTACTGATGATACCTTCTATATGTTTAGAGAGGAATTAATACAGCTCCAATCCACACAAACTTACAAAAAATATGAGGAAAGAGATCCCAGTTAATTCTATGAGGTCTTTATTACCCTGATATCTACACCAGACAAAGAAATTGCAAGAATGAAAACTGCAGACCAATATCCCTTATGGATATAGGGGCAAAAATACTCAACATAATACTGGCAAATTGAATCTAGCAACATATTTACAAAAGACATGATTAAATGGGATTTATTCCAGTAACTCAAATTTGATATAACATATAAAAATAATAAAGTATTACAGTACATTAACAAAGTAAAGAGTGATACCATAAGATCATCCCCATAGGTACAGATACAACATCTAATTAAATTTAATATTCTTGGCCAGCCATGGTGGCTTATGCCTATAATCCCAGAACTTTGGGAGACTGAGGTGGCAGATCACCTGAGGTCAGAAATTCAAGACCAACCTGGCCAGCATGGTAAAAACCCATCTCTACTAAAAATACAGAAATTAGCTGTATTAGTTGCTATTCCTTTTCCATTCCTTGTTCCGGCAATAATATTTTCTTTACACATTTATAGATCTGTTTGGTTCTGATTCCATATATAACAGGATTGAGCATTGGTGGCACCACAACATAGAGATTGGCTAGGAGTATATGGATATAGTGGGGAACATTTTGGCCAAAGCGATGAGTCATAAAGGAAAAGAGGGCTGGGGTATAGAAGGCAAGGATTACACACACGTGTGAACCACATGTGCTGAGGGACTTGAGTCGGGCTTCACGGGAAGGAAGACGGAAAACAGCATGAAGTATCTGCACATAAGAAAGGGAAATGGCTGTGATGTCAAACACTAGATTACAAATGGCACATAAACCATAAATAATATTGATTTTGATGCTGGCACAAGACAGACGAGCAAGACCCATGTGCTCACAATAGGTGTGGGGAATGATATGATTTCCACAGAAGGGCAACCTCAAAATGAGAAATATAAAGGGAATGACAAAAATAAAAGCCCTCACAAGCACACCAAGACTAATCACAGAAATGACCTTGGTGGTGAGAATGGTGCTGTATTGGAGCGGGTTGCAGATGGCCACATAGCGGTCATAAGCCATTGCCACAAGTACTGCTGACTCCATAAGTGTGAAGTTGTGAATGAAAAACATCTGGGTGAGGCAGGCTTCAAAGATGATCTCTCTGAGGTTGATCCAGAAAATCCCAAGCATCTTAGGGATGGTAGCTGTTGAAAGGCCCAAGTCAATGGTAGCCAGCATGACCAGGAAGTAGAACATGGGCTGGTGTAGGCTGCTCTCGGTCTTGATCACCAGTAGAATAGTGAAGTTCCCTATGAGTGCAATCATATACACAGCACAAAAGGGAAAGCCGATCCAGATGTGATGTGTTTCTAGTCCTGGGATTCCCAGCAACAGGAAGGAGGAGGGGTGAAACTGGGTGTCATTCGGAAGTAACATCCAGCTTGTGAGTGCGTAAGTCCACAGTCTACAGAAATTTGTGCTCACCCAGTCTCAGCACACAGGGTTCTGCAGTTTAGAGACAAAAACTTAATATAAGAAACATATATTTGTGCACAGGTTTTTACAGCAAACTCTATCACCATGAAATGAACTGTGAACAGAGGACTTCAGATTAATAAAAAACATCTCAGGTATAAATTCTTAGATGAATTTAAAATAAGATAAAAGAAAATGTTCTATATGATACTTTCAATTTTGCTAGCATTCTACTCTTCCTAAAGCCTATTAATATAGCCTCATGGCCAATATTATGCTAAGATTTGCCTGAATACTTTTTACATTAGCTATCCTCTCTCATTATTGCCATCATCACCAAAGAACCCCCTTGAATTTTGAATGAGATAGGGTTTTCCTAGCCCTTAAATGTAGTGGTGGAAATTAATTCCAGTTGATTGAATGATAACACATTGAGATTAACACATAGGGTGGGTACTCTCTATTCAATAAACACCCAAACTAATCAAAATTTATGCCAAAATATACTAAAAATCACTTAAAGGTTAAAATTAGTCCATTTTCAAATATTTACTCATTATTACCGTAAAATAAAATACAGAATAATAGTGAAAACAGCAGCATCAACTACCAATTACTGAAGTACTGCCTACTATTTGCAAAGCTTCCCTATGTGCAAAATCATCTCGAATTTATAAAAATAACACCCTTCAAGGAGAATATTAATTTTTTATATTTTCCATATAAGTAATCTACAGATTAATGAGTTTTACAGGCTTGTCAGATGTTTAAAATGCTTTTAATGGAAGCTCCGGGAAATTAAGATAGGGATAACAGTATTGAATTGACATGGAAAAGAAATAGAAAGAAAGGAAGGCATAATGAATGACTTACCTGTGTTATGCACGCTGGATAAAACACAGATACAAGCATAATATTACACACAGGTTAAACAAATACACGTTTTTCAAAACTCAACATCAATCTGAATAACACATGTCACATGTATGTCTAGTTCAAAGCTGAGGCAACTACATGTCAAATGTTTAAAAACAGGTGAGAAAAAATAGAAGCATTAGAATATTAGAGTTGTGATAACACATTCATTTTTTTTTAATTAGTTAATTAGTTAACTATTGAGACAGAGTGACACTCTGTCACCCTGGCTGGAGTGTAGTGGCACGATCTCCGCTCACTGCAGCTACCACCTCCCAGGTTCAAATGATTCTCCTGTTTCAGCCTCCAGAGTAGCTGTGATTACAGGTGGGCACCATCACACTTGGATAATTTTTTGTGTTTTTAGTAGAGATGGGGTTTTGGCAAGTTGACCAGGCTGGTCTCAAACTCTTGGACTCAAGTGATCTGACCACCTTCGCCTGCCAAAGAGTTGGGATTACAGGCGTGAGCCAGTGTACCTGGCCTCAATCATTTTCAAAGTTAACTAAATTTATCTACTCTGTCTTCTTCAAGTACCTTGATTATAATACTTGATGGGGGAGTATTTTCAGAGCGTTTCTGGTCCATGGAAAGCTTTTACTGTTCCATAGAAAAATGCCTTACTCAAGATTAGAGAGCTTAACAAAACCTGGTAATATGAAAGAAATGCCACATAAATTCTTGGGATTACTACCCAAATTAATGATAGTGATAAGGAAGTAAATCATATGCTATATGTCTATCCTCCATTTTATGAAATATGGTATGTATAACAGGTAAAATAAAGAATAAAGACTACTGGAAAAAAAATTGTGTACATAAAATCATCATCTTCTTGAAAAGAGGTAAATGAACAAAATTACAGGCATCATTTTTTGAATACATAAGACTCCATAAAATATGACTAATGGTTGTTGGAAGGCATTAAAAAAACATTGGGCCCAACAATATTTTGCTGATAAATAAGTGCCATGCATCCAGTCTATCATGTCACACCAAACATTTTTCATGTGCTAAAATTCATTCCGAATGAAAACACAGCTATAAAATCACTGTTAATTTTTTACTGAAATAAAATGACTCCACTTTTAAGAGAGTTCTTTTGTGAGAATAACCACTGAGTAAGTTACATATGTGTGACTTCTTTAATCTGTGCAGGACTGCACAGTCCCTTCTGAATCACTCTGTTTTGAACACCAAAGTAGCATTTCAAACAGCCATACCTCAATCAGTGTGAACCTGGGGTACTTAAGGAGATTATCAGACACACATGATTTCTGAAAGGAAAAACAAAGAAATCAAATGCAGATTTATTCATTATTTTACTTCTTATATTTATAACTCTATTTCAAGCTAACAACTTAGCCTTCAATCTTATACTAATTTATAAGAACTCTGTACTTACTCACCTGTGCCCACATTTTATGTTATTGATGTCAGATTTTATTTTTATATTTCCATCAATTAACAACTTTTTGGATTGTAGTTATTCTTAATACTTTTCTCTTTAACTTTTATAGTAGTGTTAAAAGTGATTAATTCATCAGTTTAGTATTACATTATTTAGCATTTGTATATGTATTTACCAGTGAGATTTGTACTTTCATATGTGCTATTTAGCATCAGTTCTAGTGGTGACAAATTCCCTCAGTGTTGTCTGTTGTGTAAAGTCTTTCATTTGCAAAGGACAGGCTGGGTTGAGTGAATATAGTGATCTCATTTGGCAGGGTTTTTTTTTTTTCCCCAACACTTTGAATATATCATCCCACTCTTTCCTGGCTTACAATGTTTCTGCTGAGAAATTTGCTGATAATCAAGTAAGGGTTGCCTTGTGTGTTATAAATTGCTTTTCTTTTGATGCTGCCAAAATTTTCTTTGTGTTTACAATTTAATCAGACACAAGTGCAACTTCTTATGGTGAGAAATGTATAACAAACCTGAAAATGTACCCCTGAACAGAAAATAAAAGTTAAAAAAAGCTTAGAACTAAAACTAGGAATATCTACATATTTCCGGTGAAAAAGACTGTCAACAAATAAACAGTATCACCCTTCAAGGAAGATGAAACAATTGAAATTATCTAAAAATATGTGAAAAGGGGCCGTGAGAGCATAACAGGGTGTATAATCTGTCCTCACTGCACTGCAACTCTTCGTTTTAACATCCTACCCAACACCTGGCTGAAACTAAAACAGTTCTAGTTAAGTTAATTAGTGATCTCTGGACACCAAACCCAAACAAATATCCCTATCACATCCTACAACTCCCAAGCAGACACTTGATCATTCTGTTCTTTGAAACATAGTACATATTACCAAATACGTATTTACATACTTTGTTTAAGAGTGTATACGTAAGTGTATATATACTAGTTTCTGTGTATACACATAAACTTAGCTTGCTTCCCCAACAGCTTTACTCTTTCTGACATCAAACTGCATTGCCATTCTTGTTCACCAAACTACCGGCATTTTTTCACTCTTTCTATTGGTTTAAAAGTTCAAACCTATTTTTACCACTCTATTAAAACATTTTCTGTCCAGTTACCTAAAACAGCCAACCACATCTTCTTTTATGTTACTGTATCAAAAACACTTTATTTTTTCCTATAAAATTTTCTCTATTTTCTCTCCACCCATATCCCCCACCTCTAACTTCCTAAAGCCAATCTCTTTTTCCTTTAGCCAATCTTTTCTTCCCTGTTTCTTTTCACAAATTGCAGTTGTTTCCCCTCCTAGCTCTGTGCTCCTCCTCCCATCAGACTTATAAATTGTATAGGCTACTTCCGTTTACCCATTCCTTAATTAGCTTATTGCTTTGTACTCTTACTCTGGTTAGAGTGCTCAAGTTGGACTTAGTTCTGCCTATGTAGTCTAGAAGGTTACCAGTTTATCTACTGATGATAAAGGAAGCTTCTCATTTGTCCTGGAGTTCTGGGAGCCTGGGGAACTGTAAGCTACTCATGCTATATAGGGAGGAGAGACCTGTGGGTCTAAGGAGTGTCAGTTGCTCAGGTAAGGAATTTCCATAGAAACTGAGAATTCCTAAGAGATGTTCAAGTGGGAGAAAATAAAGGAAACTCTGATTCTGTCTCTGCTGGCTGGATGAGCTTAGATACACAATGGGGAGTGGGTAGTGTAAATATCCTGTGTAAATTTTCAACAGGATAAAGGCACTATGTGAATATTAAAATTGTACAATAGAGTAAAAATATGGCACTAAAGTGGTTACCAGAAGTGGGCAGATTCTAGCAACTACCCAGATATTTGGTAATCTCGTAGAGAACTTCCCTAAGTGTTAAGAGTGAACCAGAAATAGATGTGTTCACAGAGAGACTGACATAGGTTCAAATGATCTCAAGTTCTGCTTTAAGATCTGAGATTGCTAGCAGCCATGGCCACCTGCCAGAAGTAAATCTAAAGCTAATCTTCTAAATAAGAATATCGTTCTACACATTATCCTAGGACTCAAATTTTTAATATTTCTAATTTATTGTACACAAAGTATCTTGCATTAGCATAACCAGGCAGAGAAAGAATCAAACAAATGTGTCATAACACCAGTTTTTTAAAAATAGGAATAAACATAGGAGATCAAATAATACTGTTTCAGACAGGTTTTTATAACTGTAATTAAATATACTCAAGAAAATAAAATTTGAAGTGTCCATTAAAATACTAGAACACTTTTTAGAGATTCAAATGGAAACTCTGTATGTGAAAAAATATTAAAACTTGAATTAAGGAATCAAGTCTTTACTTCTATTCTGTGAAGGAACTATAAATTTGAAAACGAATTAACTCCCCAAATTGTATAGATCTTAAGTAGCAAAGCTTTCAGCACAGGCCGTCAAGATTCATAGCTATATCTATTACCTTGTACTTATATATAGCCAGTAAAACCCCAGGATGAAAATTAATTTTAAATTGTTATATTTTGGAAAGTTCCAAGAAAACAGAAGAAACCAACAAATACCAACATAAATATTAATTCAAGTCTTCTCTAGATAAATACATATTATCTCAAGAGGAGGATTGTTGATAATTAATTTCCAATGAGTGTCAGTTGTATAAATATATAAAAAAGATGAGAAGGGAAAAAGCACTGTAGACACTATATGTGAGGTATAGTATAAACAAATAAATTTAAAAAATTAAGCAACCCATGTAGCAGGTAAAATAAAGAATCCCAAAGATAAAGGGGAATTTGAGTTGCAGATGCAATTAAGGCTGATAACCATGTGATCTTAAGATATGAAAATTATTCTAGATTATGTAGGCATGTTCAATGTAATTACAAACATCATTACTAAGTGGAAGTGGGAAGCAGCAGAGGAGTCACTGTCAGAGGGATGTGATGTGAGAGAGACTGCACAGGCCATTGCCAGCCTTGGTAGCAGGAGGCCATGAACGATAACATCTGGACAGCTGCCAAAAGACGGAAAAGTTAAGAAGGTGGATTCTCCCTTAAAGCCCCCAGGAATAAATGCAACCTGCTAACATATTGCTTTTAGCCTAGTGACATGTTGAATTTGCAACCTGCAGGACTACAGAATAGTAAAGTGTTGTTTAAGGCCACCAAATTTGTGATAGTTCCTTATGGCAGCAATAGGAAATTAATACAACCCTCATAAAACTGAATTTCTTTTTTTCTTTTTTATTTGAGATGGAGTTTCGCTCTTGTTACCCAGGCTGGAGTGCAATGGCCAATCTCGACTCACCGCAACCTCCACCTCCTGGGTTCAGGCAATTCTCTTGCCTTAGCCTCCCGAGTAGCTGGGATTACAGGCACGCACCACCATGCCCAGCTATTTTTTTGTATTTTTAGTAGAGACAGGGTTTCACCATGTTGACCAGGATCGTCTCAATCTCTTGACCTAGTGATCCACCCGCCTCGGCCTCCCAAAGTGCTGGGATTACAGGCGTGAGCCACCACACCCGGCCATAAAACTGAATTTCTAAAAAAAATTTGGGTCTTACATTTAAGTCTTTATTCCACTTGGAGTTAATAGAAGAAAACCTAGGCAATACCATTCAGGACATAGGCATAAGCAGGACTTCATGACTAAAACACCAAAAGCAATGGTCACAAAAGCCAAAATAGACAAATGGGATCTAATTAAACTTAAGAACTTCTGCACAGCAAAATAAACTTTCATTACAGTGAACCAGCAACCAATAGAATGGAATAAAATTTTGGCAATCTACTCATCTGACAAAGGGCTAATATTTAGAGTCTAATAAGCAAATTTACAAGAAAAAAACAACCCCATCAAAAAAGTGGGTGAAGGATATAAACAGAAACTTTTCAAAAGAAGACATTTATGCAGCCAACAAACATATGAAATAAAGTTCCTCATCTCTGGTCATTAGAGAAATGTAAATACCACATTGAGTTGCCATCTCACACCAGTTAGAATAGCAATCATTAAAAAAATCAAGACGCAACAGATGCTGGAGAGAAAGTGGAGAGATAGGGATGCTTTTACACTGTTGGTGGGAGTGTAAATTAGTTCAACCACTGTGGAAGACAGTGTGGTGATTCCTCAGGAATCTAGAAATGGAAATACCATTTGACCCAGCAATCCCATTACTGGGTATATACCCAAAGGATTATAAATCATTCTATTATAAAGACTCATGCACATGTATGTTTATTGCAGCACTGTTTACAATAGTAAAGACTTGGAACCAACTCAAATGCCCATCAATGAAAGACTGGATAAAGAAAATGTGGCACATATACACAATGGAATGCTGTGCAGCCATTAAAAAGGATTAGTTCATGTCCTTTGCAGAGACATGGATGAATTTGGAAATCATCATTCTCAGCAAACTGATACAAGAACAGAAAAGCAAACACTGTGTGTTCTCACTCATAGGTAGGTGTTGAACAGTGAAAACACATGGACACAGGGAGGGGAACACCACACACTGGGGCCTGTTGCGTGTAGAGGAGATAGAGGAGGGATAGCAGGGTGTGGGGGATTGAGGAAGGGTAACATTAGGAGAAATACCTCATGTAGATAACAGAGTGATGGATGCAGCAAACCACCATGGCACGTGTATACCTATGTAACAGACCTGCACGTTCTGCACATGTACCCCAGAACTTATAGTATAATTTAAAAAAATTTGAGAAAGAAGATAATTAGTAGACTTTCATCAACTTTCATAAAATTATTTTCATAAAATTACATAATGTTATGTTCAAGTACATACACACAAATTTTGTCACATAACGAATCATAAAAACAAATATGAAATTATTACTAGTCAATAAATATCAGAAAGTGAAAAAAGTTTGCATAAATGGAGGATAAGAGTTTTCAAAAGCATATATCACAAATTACAGAAATAAATTATTAATAAAGGAAAAATATTTGAAAAAGTGACTAATAATTTCACTATTTAAACAAACATAAAACTTCAGATTTATAGCGTAGTAAAGGATATCACCCACGTGGTGATAGTAATTATAAGAATTAGAATCTCCACAGTGACACTAGATTTAGGAGATAACTAAAGCAATATTCGCTACTACGTGCAGGTAGGCCTTACTGTGTGATACAGATTTCTAAATGTACGCAAATAATGTACTGCCTTAAAGGCACCCTTTTTATTTATTTGTGTATGTTGTTATTCCCTCATTACCCAATTTGACTACTTAAACAAAATAAAACACTCATTTTCTGTTTTTTAAAAATAGATTTGTAATGTTTACTCAGTAGTAATTACTACAATTTTGTAAAACAAGGAATGAAAAGTCATGCAAATATGTTTATGTATTATCAGCCAGTGTTTAAACATATAACTATTAATAATCTGACAATGTGTTTGTTTTTCTTTTTTTGCTATACTAAGGAAATAAATGTTACCAAACAACACAACAAGTAATTGACTTAAATACATCTCCTTGACTGAACTACTATCCATGGGCTGCCCTGACTTCTGGCCACTATATCAGGATCTCCTGTGATGTATACCTATCGGATGATGACACATTGAAATAAGTGTTTATGGACATCTAAGGATTTCCAATATGTTTATATCTCTGAGACTTTTATTCTCTAACACTTGTACTTTTTCTTGACTACACCATGTATGCCTTAGCCTCAGTCCCTTTGCATTTGTTATTCTCTCTGCCTGGAACACTTCCCCGACCCTCTCTCAGATTCTACATGGCTTGCTCTCTTACCTCCTTGAAACCTTTACTTAAATGTCACATTCTTAGTGTCAGTTCCCCTGACAATGTTATTTAGAAGTACCAACACTTAACTATAAACATCCCTACCCCCACCTTGCACTTTATGTATCAACATAAATGGAAACACTTACTTTATTTATTCTGTCTTGTTTTCCTCTTACTATAGAAAAGGGCATTTTATCAGTTTTGTTTGTTAGTGTATCAGTTCTGTTTATTAGTACCTAAAACAATGCCTGATAATAGTAGATAGTTAATGGATATTTGTTGAATCATCAGTGAATGAACCATGAACCTGATTTATTCTTTTCAGTGACCAAGACCAGTCCCTATCACTCATGGACAAACCTTCTAGAATGGAAACCTGGAAAACTCAGCCCTGCAGCATTGCATGAACTCCTTCCCTCTCTGTTGCTGTCTCCACAGCAGTAACATGGGATAAAAAACTCATATGATGTTAGGAATAAAGGATACTAAAGCTTATTTAATATTTTTTCTCATTTTATAAGTTTCAAAAGTGAGATTAATAGGATAATCAAACGGTACATGATTTTAGATAAGCAATCAGTAACAACAAATTATCTAGTCTCTGACCTCTGGATTTTCATCTCTGCTTTCCATTCGTGATGGGAAACCTGCAAAGGAATGACATAATCGATCTCAGTGGCTATAAAATTGAACGCATTTCAGTTATAGCATAGTTCTTTACTATGTAATGTCATTATTATACTCAATATTGAGTCAAGAGGTAGTTGTACAATAGTAAGAAGATATACAGAGATTTAATTTGGTCATTAGTCTATTATGGTGCATGGACTAGCCCCACCCTCCTTGAGGTGTTGAGGACAAAGCACTCAGACCTGATACCAGGAAAACTGTTTAAAAATGTTTAAGGATTTTATAAAATTTAAATATATATATGTATATATACATACATTTTCTAAAAATATTAATTTATCCTTGGAAATAAAATAATCCTGTATGTCAGAATCTGTTCTCAAAATCAGGACATAGGTTGTCTATGTCCAGCAACATTCAATTTCCCATGAAAATGTTAATACTAAGCTCAGAGCATTGCAGGTCCCATTATCCCCAGGCTGTTCCAGTATAGGGTGTTGCAATGATCTCACTCTGGATGTTGTGACCACAGTACAAAACACCACCCTCCTAAGCAAATGGAATTCAGAATCTGAAGGGAGATTTGTTTACTTCTCCTGGAATCTTTGCTGGTAGGTAACATTTTGGAAGTATGGATTCTGATCTGTGGCTGAGAACAACAAAAAGAGCAGAAGGTGATAAAACAGGGGGAAGAGCAGAAAGCCTTCTCACTGAGGGAAGTAGATAAGGCAGCTTACTGTAAGAACGTGTTGGCATAATTTCATATACACTTGAATAACTACTACCTTCAGTTCTTTCTTATACATCTAACACAATCTCTGCGTGAAGCTCTTACTTATTTTGACACTTTTGCCATTCTGTGCACTAGAGCTCTCCACTGCCATGCAACGATCTATCAGAGTTCCTTCTCTTCATATTTTCTGTCTATTTCTCACTGTTCTCTCTCGTTCAATTAGATTAATGGTCCCAGCCCAGGCCCATGTTTGACATGGAGAGAAAAACAATGTTCAAGTTACCTTAAACCATTCATAAATTATCTCTCTCCAGTAAAACACAAACAAATCATACGCTACCTTTCTCCACCAGAAGGTAGTCCCAATCATTTTTCAATGGTGAAGTTTCCAAATGTATAATGCAATTTCTGTGTAAATGTCCAATGATAAGAATAATCATTTGCACTGGATTATATGCATTATAAATGCTACCAAAATATTTATATGCAGATAAAGTGAGCACCAGGATTGAATGTCTGCTAAATTCTGTAAAGGATTACCTGACAAGCTACATAAGCAAGTTCACGATAGCTTTTTACTTTGCCATGTTCTTATCAATAGGATAACCAGTAACTGTAATACACTTTTGGGTTGAGCCATCTTGAGTCAGAAATAACTTGCAAAATTCTTGCAATGCAGGCATTTTATTGTCATTTCATAGGTGAGGTATCTTAGAGAAGAAAAATAATTTAATCAATATGACATGTCAATGAGAAACAAAACTTGGGCTCAATTCCTAGTGTTATTTTCTAAACATTATTCCATTTTCATATACTAGGCCCCATTCAGGTAGATAAATCAAACTCACAAAGAAGAAATCTGAATATAGAATTCTGTTCCATCTCCTTCATCTGTCTCCTCAATTCAACACCACATCTTTCATATAGTCACCCCTGAGGAAATTAGAACAGTTTTCTAAATAGTTTTATTTTTTTCTGAGAATTCCTCTTTTATTTCCCAATTTGTTTGCTTTGGAATAATTATTTTAATCCAATTTCCTTTTCTCTTTCCTATACCTGGATCAATTTCTACATTCTAGAGTTTCTTAAGAAATTTGTCCAAGACCCAAGCTGCAGTGCACCCTTCCAAGATACACACATGCACACGGACACACATGCACACACATACAAACATTAGTGAAAGAGAAAGAGTTCTTGATCAATGTGCTTAGTTTTGTAAGGATGAGATTCATCATGTCAACACAATGTAGTGGGACAAATACTAAACTCACTATCAAGAAGTGATGTGTACAAATTGACACACTTTGACAACAATGTGATGTGTCATAAACTTGAATATTAATGTTTGTATGTATTCATGTTTGTAAATCTGTTTCTTTCTTGACAGTTATTAGCAGAAAGGCATTTACAAATATTATCATATCTGAAATGAAGAGGGATATGTGCATTTCATTGTAAGCAGACCCACAGTGAGATTATCTTGAGAGGATTATCCAGAGTAAGAGGTTTCATTAATAAAACCTCAAGGCAGAGTTCCTCTCTAATATGGACATCAGCAACAAAGGAGTGTTTTTAAGATGACTCCTTATGAGAGTCATGGAATGAGAAGTGGACTTGCAGACTTAAACAATGAAACAGCTGCACACATCCAAAATCATCGTAGAATGTTCCAGCATGATACATTTGTGGTTTCTTTGAAGAATGGATTATATAAGCTTGGTTCATAAATGTGAAGTATAATGGGTCTGATCATATTTAAATCATGTGTCTAATTATTTGTTCATTACATATATATTTATGAATTAAACAGTTTGTCCATAAAATAATGTTAAATATTTTCAGGAGAATCTTTTGTGTATCTAAGGGAACAATTTTATCTCACCAATATTGTATAAGTTTACATTGCTGATTTGTGTAACTGTTACAGCTGCTAACACTAACTTTAAACCACTGTGTTGCATCAGGAAATACACCTTCTTTCGTTCATCTTTTGCAGTCAGTCTCGGCATATAAGCTGGTATGTCAATGGTAGATAATTAATGTTTGTTGAACTAAAATGTTGAATTTACTTGAATTGATCTAATGAAGTACACTGAAATCTTTGGGCCACATATTACCATTAAATTGTATGTACTTTCAAGCCTCTATCATGCAGAAGTATGGTAGATATTAGTTTCAGGAATTTCTTTGTGCTCTCTGTGCATAAACAAGGATAAAACCACTCAATGAATAAGACACATTTAGTATATGGTATATAGACCCATCCTAGAAGGATGGCCTCAAGGAATACCACTGTATTTTGTCCTTACTCTTTCCTTCTCCTGGGAATTCCTAGGCTGGAAAATATGCATCTCTGGATTGGTTTTCTTTTCTTTGCTGTGTTCCTGACAGCTGTCCTTGGGAAAATCACCATTCTTTTTGTGATTCAGACTGAGAGTAGTCTCCATCAGCCCATGTTCTACTTCCTAGCCATTTTGTCATCTATTGACCTGGGCCTGTATATATCCACCATCCCTAAAATGCTTGGCATCTTCTGGTTTACCCTGCAAGAAATCTCCTTTGAAGGATGCATTACCCAGATGTTTTTCATCCACCTGTGCACTGGCATGGAATCAGCTGTGCTTGTGGCCATGGCCTATGATCGCTATGTGGCCATTTGTGACCCTCTTCGCTACACGTTGGTGCTCACAAACATGATGGTGTCAGTTATAGCACTGGCCATTCTTCTGAGAATCTTTGCCTTTGCCATACCCTTTGTTCTACTCATCCTGAGGCTACCATTCTGTGGACCCCAAATTATTCCTCACACTTATTGTGAGCACATGGGCATTGCCCACCTGTCATGTGCCAGCATCAGGGCCAACATCATCTATGCCTTATGTGCCATCTGTATCCTGGTCCTTGACATCATAGCAATTGTCATTTCCTACATACAGATCTTTCATGCTGTATTTCGACTCTCTTCACATGGTGCACGACTCAAGGCAGTCAGCACCTGTGGCTCTCAGGTGTGTGTCATGTTGAGTTTCTATACCCCTGTGTTTTTCTCATTCATGACCCACAGGTTTGGTTGGAATATTCCTCGCTTTGTCCACATCCTTCTGGCTAATTTCTATGTAGTCATTCCACCTGCTCTCAACCCTGTAATTTACAGTGTCAGAACAAAACAGATTAGGGCTCAAGTGCTGAAAATGTTTTCCAGTAAATGAAACATAGCTCATTCATAAATATCAGAGTGATTATTTTTCAATATCATAAATAATCATATTTACAATGAAAGTGGCACTGATTTTCTATGTCCAAAGTAAAAACCGAATATTTGGAAAGTATTTAGGACCATCTTAGGGGAGGACTGAAAATGTGATCATTTGGCCAGTGCTACCCAGAAATTGAAAGTTAAGCTCATGTCAAATGGGTAGATAAGAATGTTTTCTAACATTTCATTATTTGGAAATGATTCAGATACATAATATGAAAGAATATGAACACTTTGTTCTGCATCCTTTATGACTGAGCATATCATAGTCATAGTCAGTTTAAAGAAAATTCAAATGAAAAACCAGAAACAAGAAAACAAACAAAACACTATAAAGTCCTCTACATGCGGAGTTTAAAGAAAAATATTGAGTCATCTCAATGAGTGCTGATTTTATGCAATAAACATTGGAGGATTTTTCATATACCTGGATGATCAAAAATAATGTTATTTTTGTCTTTCTCATAATAATGTTGGAAGTTATAAAATTGATACTGTTAGCATGATGGCCCTGAAAAGAGCTGGAGGTCTCCCACGGTAAAAAGAATAGCAGAAATTTGGAAATCTTGGTAAATTTGTAGTCTTCTTTTGGAAAAAAAAAAAGACATGCTGTATTTATTTATTTGGTGGACAAGTTTTTATAAAATCTCACTTACTGATAGTTCTTTGAAAACAAACTGTTCTTTTCCAAACAATATTGTTTATGTCTTTTTGTGCCATCTCTTAGAGAAATTTTACTTTTATGGAATGTCAAAAGTCCAAGTGATGTTCTAAGTGTTTTTTGTTGTTGTTATTGTTGTTTGTTTTAATGAGAGTTTAGTTTAATGTGATATAGTTCAGTGCTCTTCAGGTCCATGTGACATTATTGACATCATGAGTAGAAAGATTCAAGAAAAAATGTGGTCGTGAAGTTTGGAAAATATTTATTGCAAAACCTCTCAGTGTTTTTAACCAACAAATACTCATTTGAAATTTGAAACCAAGATTGGTGTCAGGATTCTCTTTCTAGGTCATCCCATGATACATATTACCTAGAATGCACTTTAGCAAATAAAAAGAAAACCGACCTATTGTTATTACAATGGAAAATATAATGCCAAATATTCTTAGGGGGTATATGTATTCGTTAACAATACACCCAGAGCTTGAAAATCTATTAAAAAATCAGTTATATTGTGTATTTATAGACATTATAATTACACATTGTAATTATGTAATTATAGACTTTTCCTGTACCCCAACTGTGTGACTGAACTCATCGTTTATCTGTTCATTTATTCTTTTGTATTGATTCAGCCTCTATCTGAAGCTGGCACCATTTTCCTGGGTCTTGGAGGTGAAAGTTCTCAGTGAATGATTCTGCCCCTCCCCAAGCTGCAGGAGACTTCAGATGGTCCTGATTCATGCTGTGGTTACAGGATTTGTTTCTGCTCCTTTCAGCAGCAATGGTCTTCACATTTATGTACTGTGCCCCCAGCAGCTGAAGGCAATTGATCCTCAAGGAAGAAGAGGAGAAAGAAGGAACTGGGTGAAGTGTGATTCCCAACCTTTGTTGCTGCTATTTCCCTCTACCAGGTCTGTCCCATGATGAAGGCTTTTTCAGGCAGTCCTGCTTCCAGTCTTTCTCACAATTACCTGGTAGAAGTCTAGGGAGGACAACCTGAGTGGGAATGAATTTCCTATTTTATATTCTCACAAAAGTCTATACTTCACTTTGAGCAATTTGCTTTAAAATTTTGGTAAATCCTTTTTACTGGCTTGTGTAGAATCTGACAGCTTCCCCTAACAAGCTAGGGATCATGTTCCATTTTTCTTGAAGTTGCCTATCTTTCTTTAGGTTAGAATTAGTTGGCTGCTCTGTGATTTTAACTATTTTCTCAGTCCAAGAAAATTGTGAGTATTTTTTATTGTATGCTTTTTTTTTGCAACAAAATTTTGAGAGCAATGGACTTCCAATGTATACATGCTAAATAAAAAGAAGAAGCCATGGCGGAAATTTTAAAGAATTCTGTAGCATTTATGTACAATGGCATCTGTAACCATTGGTAACATCTTATAACCTATTTCTCCAAGGATGGGTTGTGAACCAGTGAATCATAGATATTAGGATGATTGTTGAAAAGCAGAAGTTATGGAAACCACCACTGAAATTTTGAATCTGTTTGCCTTAGAGTAGATCCAAGCAATGTCTTATTTTTAAGAGTCTTCAAGCATTCTAAATTTTAAGAACTGTCATTTCAGAAAGTTTAAAGTTGATTAATAATGATCAGTTGACTGTCAAAAAGAAATATTAGGAAGATCTTTAGAAAGAGAGGTAGTTACTTGCAGAGTTGGCCATCCCAAAGCTGAATGCCACTGCTTCTATTCCTCTATACACACACACACACACACACACACACAACCCTCTGACTTGGCCTAACTAACCCACAGCAAACTTTGTTTTTACTTACCTGATATTCCTGATGTCTTATATTCGGGAACTATTACTATTCCTATATAATATAGTGGGTAAGAAAGTAAATCCAGTGTCAGACACCTTAGTTTCAAATCCTGGCTTCACCTTTACTATCTCTGCAATTGTGGAAAAATCAACTAATTTATCTGTATCTCTGTTTTCTTATTTGTAAAATAAGCATATCAATAATAGAAATCTTGCCAGTTTGCAGGAGGAATTACTGAGGTTAAGAGATCTAAAAACTCAGAATTGACTAGTGGAATGTCAGCACGGTATAAATGTCATATGTTACACTGAAAAGAACTATGTATTTGAATCAATTTTATCAAACTACTGGAGCAAAATGTTTCTCCACATTCTTTATTTTCAAGTTATAAATCGCATCCTTTCTCAACACCCTGATTCAATACGTGCAAGGGAGAATAATAAGAAAGGTAATAGATTTGCAAATTTGGCAAGAATAAACTGAGTATGTTTAATTAAGTGCCCCTCCCCTCAAACAGACACTCACTCGGTTGTAGGGCTTTCTGAGGAAGTTATATGTGTTTCCTCATGCGCCACCATGTGGTAAGTGTTCCCATTCTTATGAGAAATATATGCCTAATTCTGGGCTTCAGTTACAGTGTTCACTGGCTCTCAACCCGAACAAAGTCCTTTACAGTAGTTTTAATCACTAAGAAGTATTTTATCTTGGATTCATTTTTTATTAATTTATTTTATCTAAATTTCTTTAGAAATCATATGGGAAAGAAAGGTTATATTTTTGTGTCTCCACCACTGAGATTTTGTAACTGATTACAAACCTTGCCTTAAATATCATTGTATATCCAGTGAATTCTAGTTGGTAATTAAACATTGACTCAATGAATCTAAAATGAGGGTAGTCATGGAGGATGGTATGAGCAGTAGTAACAATTTTGACACTTGAGGCTGTGAGCAGCTGTGTTCCTGAAAGCCCCATTCAATGACATTCAGCTGTTTATGAAATAGTTGTGATATTACAGAAAAGTTATTTCTTTAGAGCTAGACAGACTTCAAATCCAAGATTCTTTATTCAGTAATCCCAAATCCCAGATTCTCTACTCAGTAACCCACCAAATGTGAGTGTGCCAAGCTACTTACTATCTGGATTTTTATGATAACTAATCCCCCAAAGTATTGTGAGGGTTAAGTGATTATGCACACAGAACATACAGTAAAAAGCTTTGAACCTACTTAATAAATATCCATTCTCTTCAAAATTTGTAGCTTGAGGGGTGAAGTACTTGACTAAAATATTTTTCCAGTGGTCAACTACTAATAATCAGTTTCTCCTTCTCTAGTTTACATGAACAGACTCTCATACAGTATGTAGACTTTTGTCTGTGTTGTATCACTTACTCTATGCCTGTAAGATTTATCCATGTGAAACTGCATACACCAAAAAAAAAAAAAGCAGCAAGATTTAATAGCATTTACAGAGAACACATAATTACCTACAAGTTCATGATAGTTTGGCACACCATACACTGATTAAAAGCAAAAATACATTTCAGAAGATTATAGATAATGACCTCAAAAGGCTAAGAGAATGTGATAACTGAAAGTAGAATTATGTAGCTAGAAAAATTTAATTTAGGAATGAGGGTAAAATAAAGAAAACCTTAGATGAACATAAAACAGAAAAGTGATCACCAAAAGACTCTCAAGAAAGTGCTGTATTGTGTACTTGAGAAAGTACTTCAGTCAAGAATGAACTGTGGCAAACAACAAAAAAAGTAAATCTTATGATAAGACATACATGGTCAACCAAAGATCTGGATTGTATATCATGTCAATTTTAAAGGTCTCTTACTATTATTATTTTTGTCTCTGATTGGTCCCCATGAATTTTTTGCTTTGTTTTGAGAAAATAGCATTTTGATAGAGTTCTCCCTTTGTGGTAGATCTGTCTCAACATAATGATGTCATAACTTTTATATACCTTACCCAAAGAGCCTGCTATGATTGAAATGAGCAACACCATTCTGGACATCATAAGGAAAGATAACAGGTGCTATATAAAAATATTTCTTCCTTTTGAAAATTTTTGACATATCTGTACCCAACATAGTGAATATGTAGTATATTTTTAGATCTGAAGAAAATAGCATGAGGATATAAAATATGTAGAGTCATATAATTTAAGTAGCCAAATGTCGCTGATAAGCTCAAAGTGAATATTTTATATTATATAAAATACATGATCTTGATATTGTCAGTGTTTAAGATTTCAGAGGGAGACACTAGGCTTTTATCAGTTGAAGCCATTAAAACATTTTTATTGACACATGAAAAATGAATAAAATTTATCATTATACATTTTGTTAAGCAAATTTAATTGGTCGTCATACATTAGAAAGAGTTGATACTAAATTAAGATTTCCTTTAAAAGAGGAAAGGGGAAACAATGTAGGAATAAGTTGAAAAATAATTGCAGCATTTTAGAATAAACTGCAAAGTGATGTTGAAATAATCCAAAAAAAGACACAGTTCAAAGTCAGATTTTCTTGTAGCCTCCTCTTCATTTTTTTTCCCTTTCCTCTGCCCCATGACCCAAAGCCTCCTCTTCTTTTATTAATCTGATTTCCTAATATGTTCAGATTGATATCTTCTATAATGGCAAGACTTAGATGGTTATGCCAATTGAAACTTTGAAATACACTGTGTGACAGTCATATTATTAAAATTATTAATTTTAAACAGTCTAACAAGATTTAAATGTCAAATAATCCCTCTACTTGGTAATCTAATGTGCATAGACAGTCTATAATTATATCTGTTTAAACTAACAATTATGTTTGAATAAGTTACTTTCCACAGAAAAATCTTAGCTGTCTGATTATTAAAAGAGTGCCTTAATAGAAAGACCTTACATTCGAAGATAATACAATGTTTTGTTCAGATATATCTCACCAGCAAAAATGATTTAGTTAGAGGCTTTGAAAAACTGAAAACTTTAAAGAACCTGTCTCGTATCTTTCTTGTCCTTACCCCATAGATAATGGGGTTTACCATGGGTGGGACAAGAAGATAGATGTTGGCCACAAATATATGAACATGGGGAGCCACATGGTGCCCAAACCTGTGGGTGAGAAAAGAGAAGAAGGCTGGAGTATAGGACACTAAGATGACACAGACATGGGAGCCACAGGTGCCCAAAGATTTGAGTCGGGCATCTTTGGTTGGGAGATGGAAAATGGTGTGGAGTATGAGGACATAAGAGCAAATGATCAATATAAAGTCCACCCCGCCAGTAAGGAAGGCAACAATGAGGCTGTAGGCTCTGCGAATTTTTGTCTCTGCACAGGCAATCCTGATGAGGGCCATGAACTCACAGTAGGTGTGATAAATGATATGGGTTCTGCAGTAGGGAAGCCAACGTAATAGGAAAGGGTGAGGACTGAGAAGTACTATGCCCCTGAGTACAACAGCTAGTCCCATTCTCCCAATTACAGCACGTGTCAGAATAGCTGAATGTCTTAATGGATTACAAATGGCCATGTATCGGTCAAAAGCCATAGCCAGGAAGAAGCCAGATTCCATGGTGGAGCATGAGTGAATCAGGAACACTTGAGTGAGGCAGGCTTCAAAGCGAATCTCTCCATCATGGAACCAGAAGAGACTGAGAAGTTTGGGCACAGCTGTAGAACACACAACAACATCAGCTACAGCCAGCATGCAGAGGAATAGGTACATGGGCTCGTGGAGACTGGGCTCTGTCTTGATGATAAACAAAAGAGAGCAGTTTCCCAGTAGGGCCAGCAAGTAGACCACACAAAAGGGGATGGAGATCCAGATGTGAGCAGCTTCCAACCCAGGAATGCCAATAAGAATAAAGGTTGATGGATGGGCATCGGTCTTATTGTATGCTGGCATAACAAGGGTCAAATATTTTTACTTTCTCTTCATAAATTTTTCCTCAAAAGCAAACAAAATAATAATTAATAAATTTTAAAATCTGGTGAGTTAAGAAAGTTAAAGTACAGAGAACTGTAGGCCATGAAGAAATTACAATGCCTGTAAATATTTAGATAGAACGTATTTAATTATCTGACAGAGAGTCACATGTTATTACAGAGTTACTCTACCTCAAAAAGGGCACTGTTAGAACAGCATTTTGAAAGTCATCTTCTCTAATAGCCAGTTCTTTTTGTTTATGTGTTTGTTTTGTTTTCTTCTTCTTAGAAACACAATTGATACTGGGTATATATCCAAAAGACTATAAATCGTTCTACTATAAGGACACATGTACACGAATGTTCATTGCAGCACTGTTTACAATAGCAAAGACCTGGAATCAACCCAAATGCCCATTGATAATAGACTGGATTGGAAAAATGTGGCACATATACACCATGGAATATTATGCAGCAATCAGAAATGATGAGTTTGTGTCGTTTGTAGGGATATGGATGAATCTGGAGAACATCATCCTCAGCAAACTGACACAAGAACAGAAAATGAAACACCGCATATTCTCACTCATAGGTGGGTGATGAAAAATGAGAACACATGGACACAGAAAGGGGAGTACTAAACACTGGGGTCTATTGGGGGGAAAAGGGGAGGGCCAGTGGGGGGGGTGGGGAGGGATAGCCTGGGGAGAAATGCAAATGTGGGTGAAGGGGAGAAGAAAAGCAAAGCACACTGCCATGTGTGTACCTACGCAACTGTCTTGCATGCTATGGTCATGTACCCCAAAACCTAAAATCCAATAAAAAATAAAAAAAAAAAATGAAAAAAAAAAAAAAAAGAAACACAATTGATAATATTCATCAGACACTCTCTTTACTGTTATATGTATTTGTAGCATATAGGGTCTTTATGATCAGGAAAAATAACCCTGAAGTCAGAGTACAAAGTAGTTTGGTTTGGAATATGTATAGCAAACTGGACTTCAATGTTGAACTAAAATTATAAAACATAATTTAGCTTCTTAATCTGTATTTGAAATTTCATATCAAAAGTCACTGCTTAATTTGGCTAGTTGACTTTCAGTGTCTATAGGGATAGATATTCTTTTGTAAACAAAAACAGCTACGTGTGTCAAGGAAGCTTTGGAAAGTCTAAGGAATATTATTTTTGAATTGGGACATATAATGGAAAAAACAGGGATGTAGAAAAAAATAAGACTATTAAACATTTACGTAGTAATACAATAAGTAAGATTTCTAAGGTAGTCACTGATTATGACTTAGGTATTTTTCTGAGTATATTTTATATATTAACACATATACATTTTATTTACCTTTTTAGATGAGGAGAGTTTAAGTAACTTGTATAAAGTTATATAGCTGATAAGTGATAGACCTAGTTTCTAGCTCAGACACTGACTCTGGAACCCTTGTTTATTCTAAGAACATTTTACATTTCATTCTTAATTTTTTTTATATATCCAATGGTTTTTCAGGTGCATGTTGCCTAATTTTCATGTATTTATACAGTTTCCAACATTTCTTTTTATTATTTTCTAATTTTATTCCATTATGATCTAAGTGCATACTTGATATCTCCTTGAGTATATAACTTAATATGATTTTAATTTTTAAAGTAACTATTGAGATTTGTTATCTAATATATGGTCCATGCTAGGGACATATGAGGGTTCCATAATGATGAATTGCGATAATTAAGTGATAGTCTATATTTGTGAATATAGAGAGGATGGGAATGATTCTGTATATACAACATTAGAAAATAATAGACTGGATTGGAAAAATGTGGCAAATATACACCATGGAATATTATGCAGCAATCAGAAATGATGAGTTTGTGTCGTTTGTAGGGACATGGATGAATCTGGAGAACATCATCCTCAGCAAACTGACACAAGAACAGAAAATGAAACACCACATATTCTCACTCATAGGTGGGTGATGAAAAATGAGAACACATGGACACAGAAAGGGGAGTACTAAACACTGGGGTCTATTGGGGGGAAAGGGGAGGGCCAGTGGGAGGGGGAGGTGGGGAGGGATAGCCTGGGCAGAAATGCCAAATGTGGGTGAAGGGGAGAAGAAAAGCAAAGCACACTGCCATGTGTGTACCTACGCAACTGTCTTGCATGCTCTGCTCATGTACCCCAAAACCTAAAATCCAATAAAAAATTAAAAAAAAAAAAAAAAGAAAATACAATCACCATTAATTTGAATATGACTACTTGAAAGCTCTTTCCCTCACCATTTTAAAATTTCATAAAGAAGCTTGCTCAAATAAAGCCTTTCTCTTATTAGTTAACCCTTCCCCAATGCACTTATACAGAGTAAAAAAGCTCTAGCCTGAGAAAGAAAATTAACATAATCAGATTTTCTCCATGTTACACTGTTTTAGTAAAAATTAGATTTATGGGCCGGGCGCAGTGGCTTGTGCCTATAATCCCAGCACTTTGGGAGGCCGAGGCGGGTCAAGAGATCGAGACCATCCTGGTCAACATGGTGAAACCCTGTCTCTACTAAAAATACAAAAATTAGCTGGGCATGGTGGCACAGCCTGTAGTCCCAGCTACTTGGGAGGCTGAGGCAGGAGAATTGCTTGAACCCAGGAGGCAGAGGTTGCAGTAAGCCGAGATCGTGCCATTGCACTCCAGCCTGGGTAAGAAGACCGAAACTCCATCTCAAAAAAAAAAAAAATTAGATTTATATATATATACCCCATGGGCTAATGCATTTTAATGTATTTCCCCTTTTTGCCCTATAAACGCTTTGTTTGCTTTTACCTGTATTTGTGTGTCCATCAGCATGCTAATATTCTTTATTCATTTTCACCTGCACTCTTTCTATTTAACCTTCCCTTTATACAATGTAGATACATTTCCCCAATGGGAAATGGGTAGAGAAGTTAGGTGAAGAAAAAATTAACAAAAATATTAATGCAAATGTCCAAATACTTACAATATACCTTATTCTTACTTGCAATAAGGAAATTAAAAACTAAAATGAATATGACACAAATTATACATTATATTTAACAAATAAAATGTCAAGATTGATTCTAGTAAGAGTTAGTGAAGTTTGAGTTATAAAGAAACTCTTAAGAACAATTGGTAGGAGCGTAAATTGACACAACCTTTACAGGAAGATTTGTAGTAACCATTATTATTATTAAAAATCATATTTCTGACTAAACTAATTGACATAGTGATTCTCATTGGAAAACTGCCCACAATAGAACAAATATTTAATTACTGAAAATGTTCACAAAGAAAATAACAGTTAAAGTGATAATTCAAAGAAAAGAGAGAGGGAGAGAGAGACACAAAAACATCAAGTCAAATATAAGGGAGTCTCCTAGATTTTTAGCTGATTTCTCAGCAGAAACTTCACAGGCAAGGAGAGAATGGAATGGAATATTTGAAGGGATGGAAGAAAAAAAAGCCAGGTAAAAAGACTACATGGCAAATCTATCATTCAGAAATGAAAGAGAAATAATGTATTTCTGAGACAAGCAAAATCTTAGAAAATTTATCCCTGGACAAGTCCTATAAGAACTACTTAAGGAGCCCTGGATCTGGAAGTAAAAGCTGATATCTACCATCATGAAAACACACACAAGTATAAAAATCAATGGTAGAGCAAACACACAAATGAGAATGAGTAAATAACCAAACATTAGCCCAGAAAACCACCAAACTGCCAAGTTAAACAGTAAGAGATGAGGAAAGAAACAAAGGCTATAACAACAAACAGAAACAATAAAATTACTGAAGTAAGTCCTCACCTATCAATAACAACCTTGAATGTAAGTGATCTAAATCCCCCCCAAAAATATAAATGGATAAATGGATAAAAAGTAAAATGGAACTACAAGAAACTTACTTTACCTATGTATTCTGTATACAACATTAGAAAATACAATCAACATTAATTTGAATATGACTACTTGAAATCTCTTTTCCTCACCATTTTAAAATTCCATACAGATAATCTGAAAGTGAAAAGATGGAAAAAGATATTCCACACAAACAAAACCAAAAGTATATGGTGGTACCTGTACTTAGAAAAAAATAGGTTTTAGTCAAAAAAAACATAAAAGAGACAAAGAAAGTATTTATATTATAATAAGAAAACCAATTGAGTTAGAGGATATAACAAACATATATACATACATACATATACATATGTATGTATACTCAACATCAGAGCATCTAGATATATAAAGGAAATATTACTAAAGCTAAAGAGAGATATAGACACCAATGTAATAAATAGTTGGAGATTTCAGTAACCTGCTGTCAAGAATGGAGAGATGATCTAGACAGAAATCAACAAAGAAACAATGAACTTAAACCAAATGTACCAAAAATTTCATCCAGCAGAAGCAGAATAGATATTATTTTCTTCAGCACATGGAAGAATCCCTAGCATAGACCATACATTAGGTAACAAAACAAATCTCAATAGTTATTTTAAAAATTAAAATCATATTAAGTTATATACTCAAGTAGATATCAAGGATGCACTTAGATCATAATGAAATAAAATTAGAAATTAATAAAAAGAAACTTTGGAAACTGTATAAATACATGAAAATTAGACAACATGCACGTGAAAAACCACTGGGTACATTAAAAAATTAAGAATAAAATGTAAAATGTTCTTAGAATAAATAAAAATAGAATATGTACACATATAGAAATAGAAAATAGAATGTATACAGAATAGAAACTAGAAAAATATACTGAAACCTATGGTTTATAGCAAAAGCAGTTCTATGAGGGAAGTTTATAGAAATACACACCAACATCAAGAAATAGGAAGATTTCAAATAAACCACCTAATCATGCACCTCAAGATCTAGAAAAGCAAGTCAGAACCAAACCGAAAAATAGTAAGTGAAAATAAATAATAAAGATTATAGCAGAACTAAACAAAATAGAGACAAAACAAATATAAAGCCAAATAAAACAAAAATACTTTATTAAAAAAATAACAAAATAGGCAAACCATTAGTTAGAATGAAAGAAAGAAAGAAAGAAAGAAAGAAAGAAAAATAGAAGACCCAAATAAATTCAGAAACAAAAATAGGAGACATTGCAACTAGTAACATAGAAATACAAATAATCACTAGAGATTATGATAAATAACTATACCCCAACCAAGGGGAAAATCTTAAGAAAACCGATAAATTCCTGGACATATATAACCATTTAAGTCTGAACTATGAAGATATAGAAAACCTAAAGTGACCAGTAATGAGTAACAAGTCTGAATCAGTAATAAAAAGACCCAACAAAGAAAAACCCAGGACCAATGGCTTTTTTGCAAAATTATTCCAAACTCCTAAATAACTAACACCATTTATTCTCTAACTATTTCAAAAAATTAAGGAATTCTTTCTAATCATTCAATGAAGCCAGTATTAGTATGATTTCAAAATCAGGCAAAGATACAACAACAACAAAAGGAAAACAATAAGCCAATATCCTTGAAGAATATAGCTATAAAATTCCTCAACAAAATATTATCAAGTGTAATCCAACAGCACATCAAAAGATAATACACCATGATCAAGTAGCATTTGTCCTAAGAATGTAAAAATTGTTTGACATAAGCAAATCAATAAGTATAATCCACCAAGTCAAGAGAATAAAGGAAAATAAAAAACCCTGTGATTATCTCAACAGACACAGGAAAAGCATTTCATAAAACTCAATATCCATTATAAAACACTGGTGAAAAACATTGAATAAGACATACAAAAATAAAATGGAAGGTTATCTTATGCTCAGGAATTGGAAGAATTATTATTAGTAAAATGAACATAATACTCACAGCAATCTACAGATTCAATACAATTCCTATGATAACATCAATTTCTTCACACAATTTTTTTAAAAACAAAATCCATATGTAGCCACAGAAGACCCGAAAAAGTCAAGACACCAATGAGAAAAAGAAACAAAAGTGGAGACATTAGACTGTCTGGCTTCAAAATAATCTACAAAGTTATAGTAACAAAAACAGCATGGTAATGGCACAAAAACAAATCCATAGACCAATGGAACAGAATAGAGAACCCAGAAATAAATCCATATGTCTATAGTCAACTTATTTTCCACAATGATGGCAAGAACAAATACTGGACAAAGGACGTCCTCTTTAATAAATGATGCTGGATATAACTGGATATCTATATGCAGAATATGAAGAGTAGATCTTTATCTTTCATGAATACAAAAATTAACTCAAACTGAATTAAAGATTTAAGTATAATGTTTGAAACTATACAACTATGAGAATAAAATATAAGAGGAATCTTTCAGAACATAGGTGTCTGCAATTATTCTATGGCTAAGACTACAAAAACACAGGTAACGAAACAAAAATAGGCAAATGGGACTAAAACTAAAAAGCTTCTTCATAGCAAAGGAAACAATCATCAGGGTGAAGATAAAACTTGTAGGATGAGAGGAAATATTTGCAAACTATTTATCCAACAAGGGACTAATATACTGAATAAGGAACTCAAACAACTTAACAGGATAAAAAAGTCTGATTTAAAAATGGGCAAAACATCTGAATAGACATTTCTCAAAAGTAGACATACAAATGAACAAATATATGAAAAAATGTTAAACACCACTAATCATCAGAGAAGAGTAAATCAAAACTACAATGAGAGATCATTTCACCCTGTTAGAATGGCAATTTCCCAAAAGACAAAACGTAACGAATGATGGCAAGAATGTGGAGGAAAGGGAACTCTTACACAATGTTTTTGTAGGAATGTAAATTAGTACAGCCATTACGGAAAAGAGTACAGGTATTTATCAAAACGCTAAAACTAGAACCACCATATGATCCAGCAATTCCACTAGTGGTTATTTATCCAAAGGGAATAAAATCACTGTATAGAAAAGACATCTGCACACCCATGTTTATTGCAGCACTATTCACAGTAGTCAAGATATGGGAATAAATCAACAGATGTAGGGATAATAAAAATGTGGTATACATACACAATGGGGTATTATTATTCAACCATAAAAAACATAACATTCTGTCATTATGGTGTCATAGATGAACCTGGAGGGCATTATAAGTCAGGCACAGAAAAATAAATATTACATGTTCTCACTCATGTGGTAGACCTCATAAAAGTAGAGAATAGAATTATGGTTATTACAGGCTGGGAAAGATGGGGGAATGGAAGGATAAGGAGAGGCTTGTTAATGGATACAAAATTATAACAATATAAGAGGAAAAAGAACTAGTGTTCTACAGCACAGTAGGGTCAATATAGTTAGCAAAACCTTAAAAGCTAGAAAATAGGATTTTAAATGTTCTCAACACAAAGAAGTAATAAATATTTGAGATGATGAATATCCTAATTCGATCATTACACATTGTAAACAAGTACCAAAGTAGCATCCTGTAAATATATACAATTATTTGTAAAGTAAAAATAAGAAAAAAATTGTTAATATGGCATATTTATATAAACACATAAAAGCTATTCAAATAAAAATGAGCAGAAACTAAATTGTTTTAATACTGAAATATACAAAAAATTTAAACCTTCATGTATATGTATTTAATTTAATCACATTTGGACTGAAAATTTTATAAACTCAAAAAAACTAAAACAATACATACCCAAAATAGGTATGTAAAATGAGTGGTAAGTGGAAATGAGTATAGAGTACAATTTAGATATGTAACTGTGGTTTGACTTATTTAACAATGAATGTATTCAATGTATTCATGTATTACTTAGACTATTTAGTTTAAGTATACAAACAATGCAAAGTTGTCATTGTATTTATTAAAAAAATACAAACTAGGACTTTACAAATAGGCTATGGACTCCCTTTTTTGTAAAATATTCATTTTTTCCCCTAAACATTAAAAATACCTTTCTCCATATCTCTCTGCATAGATAACTGGTTACCTACTCAATTTAAGAAAGTGATCACCATATGTCTTTGTTTTTCATAATATTTTTCACACATAATATCCCATAATAAGCTGAGCGTGGTGTCATGAACCTATAGTCCCAGCTACTCAGAAGCCAATGTGGGAGGATCACTTGTGCCCAGGAGTTTGAGGCTACAATGAGTTATGTTTGCACCACTTGCACTGCAGTCTGGGAGACAGAGTGAGATCCTGTCCTAATAATAATAAAAAAACATTAAAATTAAAACCATAATAATTGTAATCAGAATTGTAGAAAACTCTCCTCCTATATCAAATTCTCTGAGATTATTTTTCTAACTACCTCAAGCCATCTTTAAAACCCCTCCTTGGTGTTCCTGTGATATTTACACTTACCCATCTTCTATATTTTGTCACACTGTATTCTATATTTCTACATACCCATCTTCCTTATAATACTAAAAATTTTTATTTGACAGAAATAATGTCTTCCCACATATTAGCTTGTTGTTCCACTAAATGAATAAAGAAAAAGAGAAAAGGTAAAGGTAAGGAAATATAATTATTTTCTGGTAATTTTTTTCAATATAATTTGAAGACAACTGGTTTGAAATTACTTTGAATGTATATAAATTTATTATATTCTACACTAATCCCAAACACTGTATTGCATTAGCAATTTTCTGATTATCATATTAAGTTTTGAGACATACTTAGGGATCAGTCTCCAACAAATTTAATTGTGAGCATTTTATTCCTAGCTTAACTACAAAATGGACAAAATTAGGAAATGAAGGGGAAGAAAGTCACATATGCTTTTGAGGAGGAATAATTTAATGGATCATGATGTCTCTGGTTAAATCTTACATCCTGTATCCATCTCTTCATAAAAATAATGTAAAACCACATGAATTGCTAATAACCACTTTGTTAGTTGCACTGACATTATCACTTAAGGAAGGTTTTGGGTGGGTAATTATATTTATTACACAAATAAGAAAATAAGCTAAGAATGTTCAATTAGTTTGCACAAAGCTATTCTATGAATTTATGGAGCTGGCATTTGAACCCAAGGATAAATACAAAGTTTGTGAACTTTACACTAAACCTTAGAAGATGTATACCCACAGTGTTTGTAAATGTAAAATGACATAATGCATTGCAGAGTGCTTTTAGCAGCAGGAAACATTGCTCTTACATAATGGATTTCTAAAGTTTGTTCAGAATATAGAGCTGACACATCTACACTTCCATTATTTTCTTCACCAGCCTTCATTTGATGCACTGAACTAAGTAGAAGAGCCCTTACACAAAGTCTAAATGAAAGTTACAGTCTGGTCCCAACTCATAACAAAGTAGAGATACACTGCTTGTTATACAGATGCACCCTCTTCCAAGCCCACAAGCCCAAACAGTAGCTGCTGACCCAAGAAATCTTACACAAGCCTGTTTTTTAGAGGCTATCTGCTCCGACTATGGACCTAAAATCTTCCGTCGGCCTATTGTAGATCTGGCTTATGACATCAAAAAGCAAGTGAGCACTACTTTACCTCACTAGCGGTCCTGTGCATATCATGATGAAAACCTACTTGGACCAAGGAAACTGCCTTTTCTCTTATGACTTACAGATTTTCTAAATCAGCTCAGTTATAAATAATTTTCAGGTGTCTAAAGCCCCATGGTCCTGGAGCGGTGGTGGCCTCCCCATGGTGTCAGAGAAAGAAGCCTTTGGGGATTGAAGGTTTGAGTTCAGATAACTCTTTGGAGCTAATACCTTAATAAGAGGACAATTAAGGAGGAGGAAGCACTGGGTCCTCAAGTGTCTCTGGGGACTCTCTCAGCAGAATTGCCTGAATGTCAGAATTGTTGGTTCTTAAAAATATCATATGCATATATTGAGAAAAGAAAAATGATGTCTCAATTTTTTGTTTTAAATAATGCCTTTTTATTTTTAATACAGAAAAGTATTAAAATGCTAGCATCATTCATGTTACATTGTTTAATTTTATTTGATAATTTTATATTTATATTATTTAAAGTATTTAAAACATATTAGACTTTACAAGTTTGTTGTATAATCCGTTTTTTTTTGCAATATATACTTTATTTCTTTCATGATCATAATAAATGTTATAGAAATTAATTGTATGAACACGTCAGAATATAATTTTCAGCTGAGGTCAGACAAGGAAGCACTGATTTCTAGTTTCAGCTTTTATACTACTAACAAATGTCCTTTTTTAATTTAGTGCAATCTTTTTCTCACGTTTTCCTTCTTATTGGGGATCCCACTGTTTAAATGGCCCTGAAGTATAATGCTGAAGTACTAAGTGTTTCTAAAGGCAAGAAGTCATCACGTGCCTATGGAGAAAGTAACTTTGCTAGATGAGCTTTATCCAAAAATGAGTTACAGTGTTGTTGGTTGTGAGTTCAAAGCTGATGAACAACAATACAGTTGCCTTTAAAACAGAAGGAAGTTTATCTAGCTGTACATGAAGTCACTTTGGAAAGTTTCAGTAGCTTTTACGGTATATGATAAAGGTGCAAAAAAAAATGTGTTAAATAAAGATTATGAGAAGCCATTGTTTTGAACTGAGCTCCTAAACTAGGTCCCAACAGACTAAACCAAAATGGAGTCACTTGTGCTAGGTACCATGTAGTCAAATGAAAACTATAAAGAATCACAGAAATTCCCAAACGACCAGTTTTTCCTTAAAATAAGATACTCACTGGAAACAATCAGAAAAGGTCCAATCTGTGCTCATTTGATTAAGAAATACCCTCTGCTTTAAGTCTTAGGGAGAAAGTAACCTGAGTAACTTAATATTAATCATTTTGCATTTTGTGTTATTCTGTTTCCTTGTTTCTGCTCAACCCAGTTTGCAAAAAAAAAAAAAATAACAAAAAACAAAAAAAACCAGTTACTGCCTGTCCAATGGAGCTCCATAGGAGCGCCATTAACTTTTTTTTTTTTGAGATTGAGTCTTGCTCTGTTGCCCAGGCTGAAGTGCAGTGGTGCAATTTTGGTTCATTGCAAGCCACCTCTGGGGTTCAAGCAAGTCTCTGCCGCAGCACCCTGACTAGCTGGGACTATAGGTGTGCTAATTTTTGTATTTTTTGGAGAGATGGGATTTTGCCATGTTGGCCAGGCTGGTCTTGAACTCCTAGTGTCAAGTGATCTACCTGCCTTGGCCTCCCAGAGTCCTGGGATTACAGATGTGAGCCACCTTGCCAGGCATCCTTCTATTTTTAAGTAAATCATTAATAAAAACCACTTTGTTCTTTAAATGTGTTGAAATTTAGGTTTTTAATAGAAGAAAAAGAGGCTAAACTTGTGGATTCATGAGATGTCAACTAATTAAAAATAAGTGTAGGCAACATCTTTGTGAGACTGATAGCCAAAAACAATTCCATTAAAGTTACCCACGGTAAGAAAAATGTCAAACTCTTGGCTGGCGTTGGCTGGCTTATACATTTAAAATGACAATAAGGCATGAAAAAGTTTAATCTTGCAACTGAGATAGGTTCTGCATATCAGGAAGCTACAGAATTTTTTAAATGCCTGTTAAGAGTTATACAGGAAAATAATTATGTGAAAGAGCAGGTTTTCAATGCTGATGAGATTGGCTAATTATCCTAGGACACTACCAAGTAACCCTTATAATGCAAATGGCCTCCAAAGCCCCTGGCTTTAAATTATTAAAAATCTGTGCAATTATTTATTTTTAAAAACTATATATTAAAGAATATGTCTTTAAGCAGAACTACCCACAAAACAAGATTATGTGTTGATTGGTTTACAAAAGTGTGACTAGAGGCTTGTAGAAACCTAACTATAGGAGGAGTAATGAATGGTTCTATATTTGTTAATTCGGTGTTCCTGGCAATGATTATGAAGTAGTCTTGTTTTCTGATGTGTTATCCAGTGTTTTTTGTCTCATGACTGAAAAACAAGGAATGTGGACAGCAAGTGAGGCTGGAGTGAAAGCTTGGTAAGTGAAAGAGGAAAGCTCTCTGCAGCCAAGAGGAGATTCTGGAAGGTTGCGGTTTCACAGTTGAATAAAAAGGTTTTTATAGAAACTCCCCTTATCTGTTTAGAGGCCTGTGTAACTTTCCTTATCTGGGCAGCTGCAGATACGTCTTCTTTAAAAAAGAGAGAAATATGTTCAACAGAGCTCACTGTGTACATGTCTGTAAAAAGGTATGAAAGAAGTTTTTCTTCCCTGGAGCCCAAGGTATTACACAAAGGACCGACAACATTTCTATGTTGGGCCTTGCTTATCTGTGTGTGCAGCTTTATATTTTCCCGGGCTGCTCTTTTGTTTGAAAGAACTTTACTGCACTTTGGGAGGCCGAGGCGGGTGGATCACGAGGATGGAGACCATCCTGGTCAACATGGTGAAACCCCGTCTCTACTAATAATACAAAAAAAATTAGCTGGGCATGGTGGTGCGTGCTTGTAATCCCAGCACTCAGGAGGCTGAGGCAGGAGAATTGCCTGAACCCAGGAGGTGGAGGTTGCAGTGAGCCGAGATCGCGCCATTGCACTCCAGCCTGGGTAACGAGAGAGAAACTCCGTCTCAAAAAAAAAAAAAAAAAAAAGAACTTTACTAAGTACCTGCCCTAACTGTCTGCCTGTTTTTCTTTTTCTCCTCTCTTAGTTACATAATATAGCTACTGAGAATAATGAGAATTGGCTCTCACTCTCTATGTTTGTGTGTACAAGTATATATCTTTGGCCAGGCTCACTCTCTGTTACTTTTTTTTAATTGACAAATAAAAATTGAATATCTTCATGGTGTAAAACATGGTGTACAATATATATACATATGTGTTGTAGAATAGATATGTCAGGCTACAATTCCTCATATATTGATCATTTTGAGGATATGAGAACACCTAAACTATACTCACTTAGCAATTTTCAAATATGTAATATGTCATTAGCCCTAATCATCATGATGTACAACAGACTTCTCACACTTACTCTTCCCACCGAACAGAGATTGTGTCCATGATGAGATCTCTCCAGTCCCTCACCTCTTAGCCTCTTGTAACCAACATTTTTGCTGATTTTACTCTCTGTTTCTATGAGTTTGACTTTTTAGATTCCACATACATATGGATGAGATCATGTGTTAATTGCCTTTATGTGAATGGATTATTTTGCTTCACAATGTCTTCCATGTTTATTTATGTTGTTATGAAAGACAACTTTGTTTCTTTTCTAAGCCTAAATAGTGTCTCATTTATGCCTCATTTTCTTTACACCCTCTTTTATTTATGAAGAAACTCCTGGGCTGAGGGGATCTCTCTTGGTACTGCACTGTGCAAGGTAGGGAGGAGGATAACTTGGGTAAGGGAAACTGCCTTTCACTCTCTTCAATGCTTCTTTTCTCATTCTGTGCTCCACCACAGTGCTGTAATTTCTCTCTTGCATTGCAGACCTCTCATAAAGATATTTTTGTCCATAAACAATTCTTAAATTTGTGATTTTTGTGAGGGAGGAGGACGAGGACCTTCTATTCTTCCATTTTGCTACCTAAACCTAAATTATCTGTCATCACCTCCTTAGAAGCCAAAGCTCCCTAATAACTCTGTCTACCACTTTCAGGGTTAACATTTTTCATGTCTTGTTGTTTTTTCAAACCTCTGAGCCAAGCAACACCAGCTAAGAAGAGTTTGACATTTTTCTTACCCTGGGTAACTGAAATGTAAATTTCTTTGGTTTTCAGCCTCACAATAATGTTATCTCCTACACTTGTTTTTTTATTAGTTGGCATCTCATTAATCCATATATTTAGCCTCTTTTTTTCTATTAATAAAACAAAATTTCAACCAACTTAGTCTAAAGACCTAAATGATGTTTATTAATGATTCATGAATCATGAGTCAGGGCCAGATTGCAAACTAGAATCTGTAGAGACTTTGTGTCCTTTACAAAACTGGCTCTGGAGGATTTTCTATTGAAAGCTCTTTTCAGGCAAGGAGCAGTGCCCTCATAAAGCCTTAGCATATTGAAACAACACAGGCAACACAGACTTTGTCCTGGTGCTAAGGCCCGTGAGATCTTCCCTGTCTCCCAGCTCACAGGTGCATCTTTAGGACAAGAAGATAGACAAGAAGAAAGAGGAGAATAGAAGGGAGGAAGAGAAAGCAAAAGCTTAGAGGAAAGAAGACTAAGGATGAAACTTAAATAATGAATAGAATCAAAGCTCACATGAGTCATGTAATAGTAGAAGAAATTTTGGATTTCAGCCTGAATTGATTTGAGTTACATTTTAGAAACTCTTTTGATATCTAAAGAAATAATAGCATAGTATCTTTGGAATATGGTTAAAGTATAAAAAATGTAACTATTTAAAAGCAATTAAATATTTAGGATTATTTATCTTTGTTATCTCTATTTTATGGATGTAGCAAATGAGATATAGAGATATTAAATTATGTCTGCAAAGTCACACAGCTGATGGGTAATGTTCATTTGCTTTGACTACAGAATGAATTAATTATGAAGTTGGGTTTCAGCACACTTAGTTTCAACATGTCATTATCAACTGAAGACATGATAATAGTTTGAACTAGTCCCAATAGGATGGAGCCAAATTTATTGA